CTCTCTCTGTGTTATCTTCACAGGTCACCTTGGTATTCAGATGGTCTGCGACAGAGGAAGCATGAAGGGAGGAGGCTAAGTGCCAGTGGTGGAAGTCACACTCTAAAGGTGATCTGCTGTGACCCAAAATCTTTCTCACATTCTTTGCCTTGCTTCTGATAGAGAGGAAGAAACTCTTCTTCTCCACACAGTGTCTGTAAAGTCCCAGCAAGTTATTTCCCTCCAGAATGTAGTTTTCAGCTCCAGGAAACTTCTTACCTGCTTCCCATGTGGAAAGTGGCTGAAGGATCAGTCCCATGGGTGTACTTGGCTCTGCTGCTGGGATCATGATAATTAGGTTACTGGGTTTGGGCCCATTTGCAGACCCATGCAATAATCTCTCTCACTTAGATTTTTCTAATTAGATATTTTTCCTCTGTCTGATTCTCTGAAGTTGCTCAGAAGTGTAGAGGCAGAGGATGTGGTCTGTGTGTGCTGCTGGATGTGATCAGTCTCTGTGTTAAATACCACAGTGCCAGCATGTCTTAAGTGGCTCTTTTTTCACACACTCATCTCTGCTGCTGGTAAACCTGTTCCATTCTGCCTTGAGCTGTTTTGGAGGCAGGTTACTGTGATGGGAGTCTGGAAATAGGAATGACTGGTGAGCTTTCCTAATGGATGGGGTCTGCTCTTTCTGCTTTTGTGCCGGGTTGGGCTCTGCAGTGCCTTAGGTCTTATGAGGGAGCGTCTTTCTCCACCAATGGACAGGCTGTGCTTCTCATCCCCATCACTGCACACCAAATTCTTCCTGAGTAGCACTTAGACCTGAGGATTTCCATGTTTGCAGTGTGCTCCTCTGCTCTTCACATGCACACAGAGCTGTAGGATCACCTCCCACCTTAAGCCACACTCAGGGACTAAGTGGAGGCAGCAGCTAAAAATGAAAAGGCAATCTGTGTAAGTATGGGAGGAGGCAGACCTTCAATCACAATAAATTAGAAGATCTGGGGTATAAAAACAAAAAAATGAGTGAAAAGTAGCAAGGAAACATGCATGGCTAGCAGGGAAGGGCAGTAAGAGGAATATTTGAAGTGAAATGACGAAGTCTGCATCCAAGCAGGCTGCAGAACACCCGCAGCATGTGTGGGAAGCCTTGCCAGGGCTGATCTGGCAATGACCAGCTCTGGTTTGGCCATGGCCAGCAGTGAATATATACAGGTCCAGCTTCCCTTGTTGGACCTGACTTGAGATTTCTCTCCACTGATCTAGCAAATGTTTTCCCTAAAGCAAACCCCTGGTTCATCTGAATCCTTGCTGCTTGGCACCATCTTGACCATGGTGTGCACAACTGCTTCTGCTGTGCCAGTTCTATGTGGGCTGCTTCAGTGGCATTTTAGGGCTAATTAATACCTTTTCATTGGTGCCCTGGGTTGCAGGTGCTGTTTGAACTTTCCTCTTCTCCACAAATGACTGTGACAGGCCATGGGCACTGAAGGTGAACAGGGGAGCTGTACAGGACTGCCTGTACAGGGCAGGGCAGGCTGTGACTGGGGAAAGAAATAGAAATAGAAATAGAAATAGAAATAGAAATAGAAATAGAAATAGAAATAGAAATAGAAATAGAAATAGAAATAGAAATAGAAATAGAAATAGAGACTACAGTCCCTATTTTGCACCTTATGGTCAGATTCTGGGTGTCTGATGGGTCTGTCAGATACATTCATATTTTTTTTATTTAGGTGCAACTCCTGTCTCACCCTTTTTTTGTGTGTTAAAAGAGAGGGAGAAAGAATTAATGTCATGACCTCATCTTACTGCTCATGGTCATCTCTGGTTTGGTTAGTGCATGGCAGCATTTGCCCCTTGCAAAGTGGGGGGAACAGCAAACTACACCTCCCTTGTGTTTCTGCAGCAATGGGCTGTAGCTGACCCTTGTGCCAGGCTGTTGGTAGGGGAATCCTATCAGGTAGGACAGGTATTAGAGGTTTTCCAGTGTTATTTACCAGGAACATCCACTCAAAACCATGGGGAAGGCAGCACAGGAGGGAAGGGGTCATTCTGCTGTTTAATGAGTGTCTGCAGTGCTCAGTAAGTCACTGATTATTGCCCCTTGCTTAGGTGCCAGTCAAGACTTCTCTTTCCCATTGCAAGCATTTCCATCTTCACTGAGCATGTGAATTGTTGGTTTTCAGACTTCATTTACATGGGTTCTGTCACTGGCACCAAATGCCATTTTTGACATCCAAAACTGGCTGTGAACTTCCTGCTCCTGTAGCTGTCCCAGGCAGGAGCTGAGCACTGCTGCCCCCTCCCATGTGAACAAACCAGAGCCTTGTCCTTGTGCAGGGTCTGTCTTTCCCCACTCCCAGCCCTTCCTGTGCATGTCCCACTGTACCAAGTCCTGCCTCCAGAGACTTTCCAGCCTGTGCCAGACATCCAGCTGACCTGCTGCCCTTGGGGAGGAGCCTTTTTTCCACACCACAGAAGGTTCTGTGTGTGTGAGCAGTGTCAGTGGCTGCCAGCAGGAACAGCAGCAGCACATGTGGAGATCCAGCCACATGTAGGGATGGTGTGAAATAAATAAGATCCTGAGGACTGAGGCACCCATGCTGTATATATTCTGAGGAAGGAATTTTGCGTGGTGGTTTCGTGGGTCAGCTCTTGCCGTGCCCTGTGGTGCCTGTTTGCAGCTGCAGCATCCTGGATGCACTCCAGAAGTGCATCTTCAAGTTTATCTCGTTCCAAAAAGGATGTATTTAATGAACTTCAGTGTGACTAAAAGCACAGCAACTGCAGAGGACCAGGCATGTCTCCAAAAGCACCTCCTGAGCTGCTCTACAGCACTGCTGGGGATGTGCCCTCCTTGCCTTGCCCAGCCCTGCTGCTCCTGTCACAGACACTGTCTGGAGACCTCAGCTGTACCCCCTTTGGGGAAAATCCACAGGTCTCTAGCAGCAGCAGTATCAGTTTGGAAATTTTATGGTCAGCTAAAATACTGGGCACTTCCCCTTGTAATATTGGAGGGGATGAGAAATACACAGTATCAGTATAGTATTTATATACATTTCATGTAGACAGCTTTCCAAGGGTAATCATCATCACAGAATCCTCAGAAGTATTCTGTATCTCATAAAGTATTTCTGTATTTCTATTTGATGTCTTTCACTAAAGCTCTGGAATAAAGTAAATAAAAATAGTTGCTAATAATTGCACATGGCACAAATTATGACATTGTGAGGACAGGTTGCCCTGAAGAAATACATTTGAAAAGCTTTAGGAAAGAGGTGTAAGTCTCGAGATCTGAAAACCAAAAGCCTTTGCAACAACAGACAAAGGAACTGTTCTATTTAGTTAATGAAGGTTAATTTTAAAAGCATTCCCATCCCAAGATCTTTAAATTATTAAATGTTGAGACACTAGACATAAGACAGAAAACACTGAACTTAAAGCTGCACAAACTCAGGCAATGGGTAAGGCAGACTTCAGCTGTGACAGGACTTAATCATTAGAGCAGTTTACTGTGCATTATAGAGGATTTTCTATGCATGAAATCTGTATCTGCCCTGGAACCACTGTGCTCATTACAGGACTTGCTGGTGGAGGTTTCTGGCCTGGTACTGCAGGAAGTTGGACTTTACCATCCAAGCAGTACTTTCTGAACATCATATCCATGAATCTCTGCACATGAGATTCTTACTGTTACATCCTTATTAACAGTTACTGAGGTGGCTTTCTCTGATGGCTTCCTTGTCATTAGCTGTGAGGCTATTCCTAATCTGGTCACCCTTCCAGGACATGCTAAACACTCAGCCATTTTAGGAACCCTTTGAAAATGGAACATTTAAGAGTTAAGCTGCCATGGGGACTCAGGCACCAAACCATTATTTCAGATTACACAGTTCAAAATGTTTATCTGCAAAAGTCCTCTGCTAACAGCACAGAAGTGTGGCCTCCATAGGTACCTCGGTCCTTCCTCATAAATCCCTTCCCTGCCTATGGGCAGTTGCCCAGCTCAGGGTGATTCTTCCAGGATGTGAGGATGAGCCTTGTCCAGGGCCAGTGTTCACCTCCAGCTGGGGTGCAGCACCTTGGCCCCAAACTGTGACACTGAAACATCACCCATGAGCAGCCACCATGCTGCCCTCAGGTAGGGGTTTATCCTGCATGCTCAGAATGAAATTGAAACCATGATCCCTGAAAATAAACCATCTTCACATCTCAAGCCCAGCAAAATCCTTTACTCTAGTGGCCTTCTGTTAATTGCCATATTAGCCTGTGGCCTTCTCTGAGAAGCAACAAGAAATGTGACTCTGAGTGAGATTTTGTCCCGTTTTACCACTAACAACGAAAACATTCTGTGGCAAGAGGCAGTTTAAGACCTCTGCTCCAGTCTAACTCACTTGTATTTTTATTTCCGTACATTCCCATGGCCTTGTCAGATCCCAGAGCTGAGCTGGGGAAGGATGGAAAGGGAGAGCTGTGCTGGGATGGCATCACTTGAGCGGGATAAGGTCCCTTGTCACAGCTGTTCACCAGGGAAAGCACAGATTGGTCACTGATGTATAATAAAGTACTCCCTGCACTTCCCCTTACAATGCAGCATTGGTTTTCACACCCTAACTTTTTTTCTTTTTTTTTTTTCTGGCTTTGCTTTGGTTTCCAGGGGTTTTTGTTGCCTTTTTTTTATGGTCTACCAAACATTTCTATTCAAGGGTTACCACCTTTCATTTCAGTTGGGAATATGACTGGCATGGCTCTTCCTTCCTTTTAGCTCCAGCCTCCTTGGGAAGACCTACTAAAACATTTTGGCTCTTCTTCAGTTCTTATCACTTGTCTGTTTTGGGATAGTTTCCACGAGTGGATGCATCTTGTTCTGTTCCCCATTTCTAGGGAATGAGCTCTGTCTGCATCAGGAGTATGTAAATCCCTGGCAGTGCTGTTCATCCAGCCTGGGGCCTTTTAAAGCTTACAGAAAAATCAAATATGTCCACTTTGCTAAATAAATTCTTTTTCACTTCTAGGTCCTCCTATAGAGCCCCTGGAGCCAACCAGGCCTTTACCAACTCTTCCTGTTCGCAGAATTCACTCCACTTCGGAAAGAAAACACGAGAGACATCCACGACCTCCCAGTCCTCCTCTGGGTGATAGGCCAGCTCTCCCTGGCTCCAAACCAAACATCTGTGATGGCAACTTTAACACTGTGGCTCTCTTTAGAGGAGAAATGTTTGTTTTCAAGGTACCAAGAATTCCCACTTACCCATGAGTCTTCCCTTCATTTTATTGCTGGAAAAGATTAATAGAAGTATTTGGTAGTGAGATTTGAAATGTCTGTAAAAAAAGCTTCCTTCCTCTAAGGGTGATGACTGAGCAATATTGGAAAGAAGTGTGAGCAGACTGGCTCTGTAATATTTGGAAACAGTGCCTGATGGGATTTACAAAATGCTCAGGCATCCTGTGCTCCAAAATGTGAACTGGGTGCATTGGCAGAGAATTCAGATGCCACCAAGACTGAGAGGAGCCACCTGTAAAGCCAGGAAGCAATACCAGGACCATGGGTAACCATAGAATCCTAGAGTTGGGTTGGGTTGGGAGGGACCTTATCGACCACCTTGTTCCACCCCCTGCCATGGACATTCCACTAGACCAAGCCCCATCCAAGCTGGCCTGAAACACTTCCAGGGATGGAGCAGCCAGAGCTTCTCTGGGAACAAGCCTTATTGTCTCAGAGGTGACATGCATGGAACTGGGGCTTTGGGATCTCTCAGCCTACCTGGGGAGTTTGAGTCAACCTTTCCTGTAAGCTACAGCCCTTTGCTCAATAACCCATTAGAGTACCTTGGATAGGGACAGCCATCATCCCATTCCCAAAATACCAGTAGCTTTCACTCTGCCCAATGGGTGTGAAGTGTGGAAAGGGGCATACTGAAGGTTATTAAATGGACCACATCAGTTGCAGAAGATTCCTGAAATGAAACTAGTTGAAGGTTGGGATGGTATCTGGGAGAAGTCTCAGCTCCTGTCCTGCTCATGCTCATCCCTGAGCATCCACTGCAGCTTTAACTAATGATCAAATATCTAAAGGGATATTTCATAACTCCTTTGTGCCTTTAAACCCTGTGTGTTTCACACAGTCACCAGGTGATGTTCACGCTGTCTTGCTCTCCTGGGCTTCAGGAGCTGAGCTTCAACTGAACCAGGACAAGCGTGACACCTCAGACAAGACATGGAGAGGTCACAATGCTCACAGCTGTGGACTCAATTCCCCCCTTGCCCTTTTTCCTCTCCTTCTTTACACCCTTTTTCACAGCACCATCAATCAGCATCTCCCCCTTTGGGCTGCCATCTTCCCCCCACAGCGCTTCCCACACTGCAGACAGTGTTGGGCTGGGTTGGAGCTGTCACCTGAAGCAGGAATTTTGTCTGTAATGGTTGTGGGGCCTAGGCAAGGATTGGCAGTGCTGGATGATGGACCCAGCCAGGTCTGACTACAAGACAAAAATACTCAGTCTCAAGAGGCTTCTGGTTTCCTCAGGATCGCTGGTTCTGGCGTCTGCGCAACAACCGTGTGCAGGAGGGTTATCCCATGCAGATTGAGCAGTTCTGGAAGGGCCTCCCTGCAAAGATCGACGCAGCCTATGAACGCTCTGATGGCAAATTCGTTTTCTTCAAAGGTACAGTACAGTTCAGTACAAGCCAACCACTCCTGCCTCACCTCAGGCTGCTTTTATGGCATGAAAATGGTGGAAACAGGTACGCTGCACCCTTGTCCTTTTCCAAGGGAGCACTTCAAGCAGACACTGATCCTTAAAATACAGTTCAGTGTGGGCTGGCCTTGCCAGGACAATCTCTGCATAGAGTTAATGTCAATTAGGGGAAGTTGGCTTTCATGTAATAACAAGAAACAGCTCCTATTGCCCAGGGAGTGCAGTCCCCTGCTTATCTCCTTGAACAACTTTTGCTAGGGCATTGAGGCCTCTCTGGGTGCAGGGCACTCCCAAACCTCATTTCTAGACAATTGTCCCCTAAAGAGACAAAATTATCAACGCTGTACTGGGGCCCACTTCAGCTCCTTGTATGGTGACAGTGCCTGAACAGGATCCTCTAACTTGAGAGCAAGTTATGAGCAAGGAAGAGTGGCTGGAAAGCATGGCAGGTATAAACCACAGAACCTGGGCTTCTGGATTTGTGTCTGCAGCTTCAATACCTCAGTTTTCTAAACTGTTCTAAAGCTTGAGAGGCTCAGGGAAAGGCAATAGGAATGTCTGAAAAGCTTGGGCTGATCAACACCTCAGCCTGAGCAAAGGATAGCAGACGGGGGATGAGACAAGTTCTTGAAATCATGAGAAGGTAAATGGGAAAGAGCTGTCCAACAGCTCTCTCAAAATAAGAGCGGAGGAGCATCAGATGAAATAAGGTTTCAGATTCAAAATGAAGTGGAGGAGCAGCTTTTTCACAGATTACAGTTAAGCCTGGAAGCCCTCAACATGCTGCAGTTCACTGCTGTTGGTTTAAGTTCACATTGATCCAACTCCTAACAGGCCAATCTATTTGTTGTTTGTGTCCCCACTCACCTCTAGGAGATAAATACTGGGTTTTTAAGGAAGTGACAGCAGAGCCAGGCTACCCTCACAGCCTGGTGGAGCTGGGGAGCTGCCTGCCCCGGGAGGGCATCGACACCGCGCTGCGCTGGGAGCCCGTGGGCAAAACCTACTTCTTCAAAGGGGACAGGTACTGGAGGTACAACGAGGACAAGAGAGCAACGGACCCAGGATACCCAAAGCCCATCACCGTGTGGAGAGGAATCCCTCAGGCTCCTCAGGGGGCTTTCATCAGCAAGGAAGGCTGTATGTGTCTGCAGTCATTACACCTGTTAGATTGGGAAGAGCTGGTCTGTGCTGGGAGCTGGGCGGTTGGATGTGGAGTGCTTTCAGTATTTTCTGATCCAAGAATCAAGTCTCAGAAGCCCTGGGATCACCTGGGCTTTTTGAGCAGCAGCAGTCTTAGATCCTTCCTGACCCTCATCCCAACCCACACACCTCCTCAGCTGCTAAACCACATTGTGACAATCCAGCTCTGTGGGAATGGGACGTTTTCTGCTGCAAGAGACCCTACCCAGTTTTTCCTGGGCCCAGGTTCTGAGGATGCTGGAATTTACATTTCCTCCTAATTCACCTGTAGTGAGCTCTGGCTCTCTGCTAAAGGCTCCAACCTGTCTGATGTCAGCAGTTAGCCTCGAAGTTGTGCTCTGAGTAGGGGCTTGGGGCTCCAGAGGCTCCTTCCAACATGTTTCTTCCTTTGAATTGGAGATTTCTTCCTCCAGTTAGGGAAAGAGCCAGCAGAAGGGGCTTGTGCCATTGAGGCTGTGTTCAAATCTGGAGCTGTGGTGTGAGAGGAGGGCTGTAGGGCTGGGCCAGGCTGGAGGATGGCAGTGAGAGCCAGCCAAGCTGGGGCACAGTGCAGACCAACACTTTCACCACAGATCTCTTCTGTTCTCTTTCTTTTTCTCTAATAACTTGAGAGTCATTAGAAAATGGGTCATCTGGGGAGAGGGAGGTGCTTCAAACAACATGTAGCATAAAGCATCACCCTTTTATTAGCTGCTCCTTAACACAGGCCAAATGTTTGGGAGTCTGGCAAAAGGACTCATCTTGCTCAGCATTTGCTCCCTCAGGCTGAATGAACAGAAACCTGGTGTTCTTCCAAACACTGTCACACCCGGGCACAAGCTGGCACCCTGCAGATGATGTTAATCACTTGGTAATAATGAGCACATATTTACAGATGCTTTGGTAACTCACTGCAGAACCCTTCCCTTAAAGTCAGTCGGCTTTTCTTTTTTAATTCCCAGCTTGTCTTGGCCAAGGAGAATGGCGTTCCATGGGTAATGTTGAACACTCTAGCCAGAGTTACAGCTTCTCCTTTAAATCCCAGCTCCAAAACCACTTTCACTTTCCAATAGCTTGGGAATGCTCTGGATAAATCTGTTTTATTGACTTACTTAGTGGCCATCTTCAAGTTGTCCAGGTTCCCTTAATGTCCTCCCACAAGCACAGCTCATTAACCAGAAATACTCTCTGTTTTGTCTCCTAGTTTACACCTACTTTTACAAAGGGAAGGAGTACTGGAAGTTCGATAACCAGAGACTGAGTGTGGAGCCAGGCTATCCCAGGTCGATCCTCAAGGACTGGATGGGCTGTAACCAGAAGGATGTTGAGCGGAGCAAGGACCGGCGCCTCCCGCATGATGACGTGGATATCATGGTGACAATAAATGACATGCCCAGCACTGTCAATGCCATCGCAGTGGTGATCCCCTGCATCCTGTCTCTGTGTATCCTTGTCCTGGTATACACAATCTTCCAGTTTAAAAACAAAGAGGTGCAGCAAAATGTTGTGTACTACAAAAGACCTGTCCAGGAATGGGTATGACACAGCCCGCTGCACATTTCAACTCATTGAGCTGATGAGGACTATGGACACACACAATAAAGAGGAAAAAATGCATTGAAAAGCCTACCAAACAAAACTACTTCAGTGACCTACAAGTTTTGGACACCCTGGGATGGAAATAAGCAGGAAAACTGGAAAAAATACAGGCAGGCAGCTTTGCAGTGTGGAGCCTCTTTCTTTTGTACTGCTTTGGTCACCTGCCGGTCGCGGTGCCATCCACCGGCTCGCTCTGCCAGCACCAGAGTCTTCAAGACAGGTTTCAACTGATCTGGGAAACTTCCTTCAGTTCCCTGCACCAGTGCTCCCTGTTAAACCCAGCATTCTCCAGTGTAGCTAAACCACCTCTGAACAGAACCATTTTTTTAATAGCTATCTCATAAATGAATTAAGATCATGAAATCTATGAACAAGAACAATTTCAGTGTCATAAGCAGAAGACATTCTGATGCTGAATCATTCTATAAAATCTTCTTAGATTATTAAAAAATCCAGGGATCTACCTGGATACGATTTTCCAATACCTGCTGGTCAGATGTTTTGTACATTCATAACTAATCAATGTTGCCACTCAGCACAGTGCACAAGGAACCACCGAGCACTCAAAGAGGTACTGGAGTGCGGAGCAGAAGCTCAAGAAGCACCAAACCAGACACCTGGCAACATCAAGCCCTAGGCTGGGACAATCTGAAGATAAAGTAATCGGGTCTTAAAAAAAAAAAAAAAAAAAAAAAAA